TTCAACATGCATGTATCAACATCATAGTCCATATAAATAACTCAATTGTCATCTCTTAAATGGAAATCAACTCTAACTTCAGTGAAAGTGGATTGGATTCTCAACATGCGGCTTTTACTTTCTTTTCCAATTTCCAAGCACAAGTTTTCAAATCATTGAATTCCCCTTTAAATGAGGTCCCTAAGGCATGATTTTACTTACAAGACAACTTTTGTTTCTTGTTGACAATTTATTGTAACTCATAAGCGAAACATAGAATGGTTGTGTAATGCTGAAGTCCCTTAAGCTTTCTAACCAACCTATGTAGCAAGCGTTAGGCCAACAGCTCCCAAACCAGATGGCTTTAGGTTGTTAAGTGTAGAGACACTCCAAAGGGCTTAATAGCTCAAGTTGGAAAGGCTACGAACGTTAACCGGTCATTATTTTCTTTTTTTCTCAGTTTTTTTTTTATTTTTTTATTTTTTATTTTTTTATTTTTTTTTTCAAAATACATGCCAAAGGTTCCATCTATCAGGTTCATCAAATCAGATTAATTAGGCCAAGGTCAAGGTCAATCAAGTTGCATGCCTCACAGTTAAGTTTCTACTGTGCATCTGTGCATTGTGAAGCTTAAAAGAGTGTCAAATCCAGCGAGAATCTAATTGAGACATTTATACAGACTAATTTGAATCCACATAATCATTTCAACTCAAATTTTTCTTTATTTTCAAAAATGTCAATTGTTTCTGTACACAAAGTATTAGACATATGTTTCATCTCCGACAAGTGTCAAGTTATACTATCATTGCTTAGCAAAAATTATGAAACCAAAAATGCATAAATGCACCCCCAAACTTGAATGACACATTGTCCTCAAGGTGTGAAGACAAGCATACCAAAAATAAGAGCAAAAAAAAAAAAAAAAAAAGGGGGGGGGGGGAAAAGAACAATAATACCAAGTGGAGTGACGACGACGTAGATGTTCAGCTATGTGAGTGCGCAAAAACGTCCCCCAAACTTGGACAGGAAGACCTGTCAAAACACAATTACTATACACAAGTAAAAGTATATGTTTTTCTTTTTCTTTTTTTTTTTTTTGGTTGGCATGGAGGCATGGCTCGGGTGGAGAGAGAGAAGGTTTGTGGGTGATGGGGGTGTGGGTTTGAGGGTGGTTTGATGATGGTGGTAAGGTGGGGGAGGTAGGAGGAGGTTGGATTATTACATGGCTGGGGTGTGGTGTTCATGGGGTGGGTTGGGTGAGTTGGGAGCCGAGGTGGTGGGTGAGTGAGGAGTTGGCTCCGAGAGTGGGGATGAAGTGAAGGAAGAGATGAAATGAAGTGGGTTTAAAAGAGAGGAGGTGGAGCTTGGTTCGAGCACTCGAAGTGGGTCTTCGAGTGCTCAAAAATCCGGCAGTGGGCTCGGCTGTTGTGGTTAGGGTTTGCATGGTTGTGCATGGGCTGCGTGGTGGGTTGAGAGAGAGAGGAAGGTTAGTTTGGTGGAGGGGTTGTGACGTTGATGAGTTGTGGAGAGGTTGAGCCGAGTGAGAGAAGGTGAGGTTTGGGTTGATGGTGGTGGTGAGGTTAGCATGCATACTTGATGGGAACCGAGAGGTTGGAAGGGTGCTTGGTTGAGCATTGGGTATGCAGGTTGTGGAGTTGGTTGTGGGTTTTTGGTTAATTATTGGAAGTGCCGAGAGGGTGGAGATTGCATGGTGCTGTGCAGGAGTGGTGCCCGAGCATGGTGGTGTTGGGTTGTGGGTTTGGAATGTTGGGGTGGTGTGGTTTAAGAGAGAGAGGAAGATGAAGCTGGAAGTGGGTTAATGAGATAGAGAAGGTGAGTTCGAGCACTCTAAATTTAGCTTCGAGTGCTCCAAAAACAAGCAGAGCCTCGGAATTGTTTTTGTAGAAGTTTCGAGCACTCTGGATTGGCCTTCAAGTGCTCGAATGTGAGGCAGTGTGCTTGGGATGTTTGGGATGGAGGTTCGAGCACTCGAAATTGGAATTCAAGTGCTTGAAATGGAGACAGTAGCTGCACATGAAGGGCTGAATTTGAAGGGCATCAACGAGCACTCCAAAGGGAGCTGAGATTGCTCGAAATTAAGGCAGAGGGTGCTTGGGGCTGAAAGGTTGGATGAAATTTTCATGGCTGAATGCATGGATGAATGCATGAAGGAATGCATGGATTGTTGATAATTGCAACATGGGAACATGCAATATTGGAGGCAAAGCAGCTAGCACTCGAACTAGAAGGCATGGATGAATGAATGCAAATTGAATGCATGGCTGCATGAAACATGAAGGCAAAGGCTGCAAAATTTGAAGCTTAAAAGCTTGCATGAGGTTTTCTAGCAGATTGAATGGATGAAAGAATGCATGAACTCAAATTGCATGAAGGAAGTTGACTACATAGGTGATGATGCATGAATGCAATGCATGCATGCATTCATGGATGAATGAGCTCATGGTTTTTATTTTTTATTTTTTCTTATTTATTTATTTATATATTCTTTTTATTTTTTATTTATTATTTTTTTAAGGATGGAAGAAAAATTGCAAGCCAATGCATGGGAAAATATTTAAACTTTGCACTTCATCTCAAATGCATGGATGGAATTTGGTCTCTTCAAATGCATGGATGAATGTAGGAAAATTTTTTGAACCTTTGCAACATCACACAATGCATGAATTAAATTTCTGAAATTTTTTCTAAAACTTTGCAAATTCATTCCAATGTAATGCATGGATGGAAAATTTTGAAAACTTTTCAACTTCGTTCTAATGCATGGACAATTTTCAAACTTTTGAACGTCAATCCATTCTAATGCAAGAAGGGAAAATTGTCAAACTTTACACTTCATTGCAATGCATAGAAAATTTAGAAATTTTTTCAAACTGTGCAATTTTCTGCCAATGAATGGATGAATGAAATTTGGGAAAACTTTGAGACCTTGCAACTACTCTCTTCTGCAAGAATGCATTTAAGAAACTTTTCAACTTTTTGCAACTTCAATGCAATGTATGGATGATTTTGAGGAATTATGATCCAACAATGTAGGAAGAGAAGAGGCTATGCATGTGAGTGCCATGTCGAAAGTCCGAGAAAATTGCCTGATAGAGCCGGAAACTTCCGGGAATGAAAACAAGAGTTGAGAAGGTCTAAGAAGCCGGTCTAAAATTGCGGAACACAACTGAAGACCATTTCAGAAAAATCAAATTTTTGGCTTTTCAAAACCATTTCCCAGAAAATTTCAAGGCACGAGCAATTTGAGAAGGCTTGGAAATTGAAAGAATTGCTTCCTATGAGTGCTAAATTTAGCGTCGATAGCTAGACGCACCGAGATCAAGTTGGTCCTCCTTACCCTATACCATGTCTCTCTAGAGAGTCATATTTCCCCAGATAGGATAATTCTTTTAAAAGCGGAGGAAGACTTTGAAGACAAAAGTGGAAAAGAGGTAACGGAAAGACCTCAACCCATTCTTCATCCTCAATGAAGAACTTTGGATTATGGGGCTTATTTGGATTATAGGAAGATGGAGTAGGTGAGGGTGCACCTAGCCAAGGCTTTTGAAGGGTCATATTGAGCACGGGAATGCTCGACAACTTATCTTTCAAAATTTCAACATCCTCCTCACACTTATCCGGCGGTTCGGGCTCAACAACTTGAGACAACTCAAGTGAGGGAATGGGATGAGATGCAAGCTCCCAAGAGAGTGATACATTTGATGTTGCCCAAGGAAGAGAGTGAATAGGTGGAGGAATATCAAGCAAAGAATTCACCTCCCAAATGGAATTGGCAACATCAAAATCCGCATAATTAAAATGAGCTAAGCATGTTTTTAGAGGATCCTCCATTAAAGGAGGTGCATCAAGCAAGGGATTATGTAGGGGTTGTGCTGGATTTTTATAGGATACAATCTCATCATCATTATTTTCCTTATTTTGAACCACAATTACTTCATTTTGATGCGTGGCAACAACTTGATCTTCAACCACCATTTCATCATTTTCATATGTGATGACCACTTGATCATTCTCATGATGAAAGTTACTAGGAGTAATCTCATCATTCATAGAATTTTCTTTTGGATTGGCCACGAGTTCAATGGAAAATTCTTCTTCATTTTCATGATTTAGAGCATCAACCATTTGTTGAATTTGAGCTATTTGGTCATCTAACTCTACTCTAGATTGGGAATGAGAATGAGTAGTGGATTGCATGCCAACAATGTCATCCAACATTTGCTTATTGGACTCCATCATTTGCGTGTGGAAAGACTCCATCATTTGTTCATTGGCAGCAATAAATTCATCCAATGAAGACGGTGGACAAGGAGAAGAGGGCGGGAAAGAATGATAATTGGGTTGAAAAGGTTGCATATGAGATTGTGGGGTTGAATTTCCTATGTCATGCCACAAGAAGTTTTGTTGGTCTCCCCAACCCGAGTTATAAACATTGAAGTATGGATCACTACCCGGTTCAAAGAAATTTTCATTTGGTTGCTCTAGATAGAAGTCCGAGAATTGTCTCGTTGGAAGACATTCTCTTGTATGATGTGTATGACTAGAGCAAAATGCACAAAACTCATGTGGTGTGTAGAATTGAGTTGGAAGATAACTACCCTCCATCTAGGACTTAAATATCAACAACACACAACATAATCAACACAACAATTCTTTATCATCAACTCCACATACAATGATCCATTTCTCCTCAATTATCAACAAGATAGGAAATAAATGGCCACGACAAGGACCGATGCTTTGCAATATAGTGAAACAAAAATAGCCTCGACAAGGGCTTCATAAGCTAAATTAAACACATACACAATATTCACAATGCGAAACTAGAAGTCACAAGACTTACCTGGGGGCCTCTAGACTTACAATTTGCTAGCGTTCCCACGGCGAGTTTCGAGTCCCTAGAATCTCACAAACACAAAGATGATCAAAAATACACAAGGAGTATTCACAAGACACAATATTCACAATCAAACTAAAATTAACCCTAGAACTTTGGTCGCTAAACCGTTTGCAGTCCCCGGCAACGGCGCCAAAAATTGATCGGTTGATCAACTATACATCAACCTTCGCAATAGCACGAATCATTGTAAAATAGGGCTATTGGTTGGGTAAGTCGAACCACTAGGACTGCGTTAGTCTTACGGCAACCTTAGTGTCTAGAATCTTTCTAGAATGATGAAGGGTTTATAAAGGTTTTGTTGTTTGTCACTTAAGCTAAGAATATTGAAATTGCATAAATTAGAAACTTGCAAGAATTAAAAAGAGATGAAATACAAGTAGAGAAAAACTAGGGAAATGAATCCGCTCCAACCCTATACACATTCTAGATTGAGATTAAATTGGGAAAATCAACATAAATGATGGTCATGACACATAACAACCCTTGGTTGCTATACTATCCTCAAGAGGTTCATTAAATCAAAAACAAGAATAATCCATCAAAGATTCACATGCTTGAACTACCTAAACTAAGGTGTAGTCTTTAACATGCTCCCTAAGCCAAAGATTATCAAGCCCTTAATTAAATGATGAGAGCACACAAAGTTAAGAATCAAGTATAAACCATCAAAGGGCATCCTAAGCAATGATTTATCAAAGTTCTCAAACTCCATGCCATTAAAACCATTCCATGATCTAACTTCCATTGTCACTATGGAAATGCAAGCAATATGATTAGGAAGAGAAACCATCTAAGACAAGATGAATAGCTCAAAATAATCATGTATAGACATTAGAATTCATTACAACACATATGATACTCTAGATCATAAAATCACCAACAATAATACATTGAAATCCCAAAAGTAAAATCTACACTAGAACATGCTTACAAGGGAGGGGCTTCATCACCTCCCTAGAGAAGATTTAGTTACCCATAGGAGCAATGGAAGAAGGAAGAAGCTTGAAGACCTCTTCCATTTTCGTGCTCCCTTCTTCAAGCTTGAAGAACTCTATCTCCTTGCTCTCTTCTCTCCCCAAAATCTGATCAAAACTAGCTTAGGAGATGTGTGGCTCTTATCCCTCTTATCTACCACCAAACTAGGCTCTCTCTCTCCCCCCCCCCTCCTAGGAACATCTCCAACCACCTCATCAAGAAGGAAATCAGAAAATGAAGGAACCAAGAAACAAGTGGCTGAAATAGTGATTTTTCGGAGACAAACTGCCCTAAATTCGAGTGCTCGAATTTGGGCCTCGAGCACTCGAAAATTGGGCAGAATGCCTATTCTCCATTTGCTCCGCCCGGACCTACTTTGATGAAATGGCCATAACTTTGCGCTCCGAACTCTGAATGACAAACCGTTTGAAGATTTGGAGAGCTAATTCAGAGCTTTAAATACCTCATGTTTTGATGGAGATCCAATTCTCAAGGATGGTTGGTCGAAAATGAAGATCAAGGCAGAATTTCATTGCTGCTAGGCAGTTCTGTGTACCTCTGGTAACAAGGCCATAACTCTCTGCTCCGAGCTCCGAATGACAAACCGTTTGAAGATTTAGAAAGCTAATGCAGAGCTCTAAATATTCCATTTTATAATGGAAGTCCAGATCTCGAGCTTTCTGGGTCAGAAGTGGCAATCAAAATCGAGTTCCACTGCTGCCTGAAATTCAGCTTTTGAGCACATTGTTGATCAAAAATCCACAACACCTTATTTTTGCTCCTTTTGGGCCAAGGAACCTGAAAATGCATAAAAACATAGAAATGAAGATAATCTACATAAATTAACATACAACGGACTTTACTAATGCAATTTAGGGCGCTTGAATATACAATATTCGGCGCTTATCAGATGTTTTAAAAGGATCCATTTCAATTGACAAGCAAAAGATCAAAGCAAATGAGATTATGGATGTGTTTAGGTAAGTGAAAGTTAATCTTCCGCTTTTGGATGCAATCAAGTAAATTCCGGCTTATGCCAAGTTCTTAAAAGATTTATGCACCCAAAATAGGAAGAATAAAAGCCAAGCAAATAGAAAAGTGGTCTTAACTGAGCAAGTAAGCTCAATTTTGCAGCATAACACTCTTCCAAAGTTTAAGGACCCTGGTTCACCTACCACTTCATGCATCATTGGTGATCTTATCATGAATCGGGCTCTCTTGACCTAAGAGCAAGTGTTAACCTTCTTCCATACTTGGTATATGTCAAATTAGGCTTAGGAGACTTGAAACTGACGTCGGTGGTTTTACAACTTGCCGACCGATAAATCAAAAAGCCTAGGGGTATCACTGAAGATGTCTTGATTAAAATTGATAAATTCTTCTTTCCCGTTGATTTCGTTGTCATTGACATGGAACCGGTCCTGAATCTTAAGAGCCAAATTCCCGTTATCCTTGGCCATCCTTTCTTGGCAACCACGAATGCCAACATCAATTGTAGGACGGGGATAATGAAAATCTCATTTGGCCACATGAAGGTGAAGTTGAATATTTTCAATCCAACCCCCAACTCAATTGATAAGCATGAAGAGGTTAATGTTGTAGAAAAATGTCATGACCTTAAAAGTGAAGGAATAGAGTTTTTGAGTGAAACCAAAGTTTCAAAAGATTCATCTTCAACCCTACATTCTAAGAAAATTGTTTCAAATTCTTATTGTGAAAGGGCATGGAAGCCCAAAGATTGCATTGACCAAGGACCGAAAACGTCTTTTGAGCTTAATCCAACAAGTTCCTTAAAGAACCATTTGTTGGGTGGAGTTCGAAGCACTTATCACCCCAACAAGGAGGGGATGCATTACAAGATGTTTGATCAGGGCTAAAAGAGCCCAACGTCTTGCTAGAGACGTTAAAGACTAACAAAAGCATTTCGTAGGGTGTCAAAACCCTATTCCTCCCTCATTTCTATCTTTAATTTCATTTCTTGTGAAGTCTAGATATTGGCTTTGGGTTCATATGCATTGCTAGGAACTGTGATTAGGATTGCATGCATTTTTACGTTGAAATTAAGCATTTTGCATAAGTTCGATCGATCTTAAAATGAGTTCGATCGATTGAACTTCCCACCTGCATCAAACCTGCATCCAAATCACTCTCTGTCCAATCGTTCGAACAAAACCTGCATATTTCAGCTCTCTGTCCCATCGTTTGAACTTGTTCCTAGATCGATCTTTAGTTCTTCGATCGATCCCACTTTATCTTGGATCGATCTGCAGTTCCAACACTTAGAAAAATTTTGAACCTGCATCAACCTGCATCTAAAAGCCTCTCTGTCCCATCGATCAAACATTTCTTCAAATCTATGCATTCTCGATCGATCGATCTTTGTTCTTTGACTTTAAATTTTGACTTTGTTTTGACTTTGTTTTAAATTCTTCATTTCAAAAAAAAAAAAAAAAAAAAAAAAAATCCTAAAAATACTTTTATTTTATTTATTTTTATTTTTCAAAAATTCCAAAAAATATTTTGTCACTTTAGAGGAGAGATCGATGTCAGTTCGATCGATCTGAGGATTCAGTTCGATCAATTGAACTGGCAAGGGAATGTGTTTAAAAATCGATTTAGGGTCATTCGATCGATTCCACAAGAATCGATCTCAAACCCTCGTTTCACCCTTCGCCGCTGCATCCCAACTCTTCTCCACCTTCGGCAAGACTCTGGCAACCATCCCAAGCGTCGAATCTCTCTCTCTCTCTTCTCGGATCTAAGATCTCATCTTCATCACCTTCTCTCTCGATTCCGAAGCGTCAGGAATAAACCTACAAAAGATGATAGATACAAACCACTCAAAATTATAAACAGCAATGATTAATACAGCACAGGAAACAAGCACGTCAAAAGAAGAATAGAGAGTAAAATTTGCACCTTGTTTTTAATTTCTCACATATATCACTTGTGTTGGCCACTGGTGATGATGCAAGTACTTTAAATAAATTCAAGTAGCCTAGATTGTGAAGAAATATATTTATGTTAGCAGCATGGAATCCACGCCTCAGAATTGGAATCACAAATCATGTTAGTAGTATTTACTTCAAATTTTAAATTAATTGTACTACTTTCCAAAGAGGGGCACCCATGCTTCCAAAAAACACAATTAATTTTAGTAATAAATCCAGGCCATTCTTGAATAATTATTACAAATGAACATTGAAACTTAAAAAAAACTCATAATATAAATAGTGATTGCCATTATGTTATGTATTGCTTGGCTGCAGGAAAGTAGTAGGTAGTGGAGATTAGGTCAAACTCAAAGAAAATATTTTATAGAGCCTCCACTAAGAATAGAACAGGTCGAATTGGTTGAGTTGTATTTCAAAGTTGATTACCAAGTAACATTTCTCTCTGTTCTCTCAACGACCAATTAAGGGAAACAAAAACAATACAAAGATATCATTTCGGAATGAAACTTAGGGCTAAGTATTTGAAGCAGTGCAATAGGGCCACAGAGAACAAATATATGTAAAATTATTTAGGCATGGAATATAAAGAACCTGTGAATAAAAGTGATGCAAATGGCACATACAATTTACCCCCGGTTGTCTCAGTGATGTGAATGATACATTCTTCTCTTTTTTCCACTGTTGTTTTCTCAATAGTGATGTGAAAGGCACGTTCTTCTCTTTGTTCCTATGTTTTCTTAACGGCCAATTGAGGGACAGAAATACTATACAAAGATATCATTTTGGAATGAAACTGAGGGATAAGTATTTGAAGGGGCCACAGAGAGCAATTATATGCAAAATTATTTAGGCACGGAATATACTTATAAAAAAAATAATAAAATAGCAGCTGTGAATAAAAAGCGATCCGAATGGCACATACCGTTTACGCGCTGGATCTTCTTCAGTGGTGGCCTTCATAGCTGCTCTCTTGCTCCGCGAATTGGCAGAGGGCTTCACCATATTTTCGGCAACTAGAGAGAGATTATTGGTTGTCGATTAGTAGAATAATTAACAAATACAGTAAGATCTTACACCCAAAAATTGTTTATGGCAACTGGCTGTTTTTGGGGAGCCACCCTTCTCCTCCGTCCCAGTTTAACTTAACCCACCCCTCCCCACCCATCATTGATCAAATAATCAAACTACAAATCAACGGAACTACCGTAAAGGGTTGAATTGAAAATAACTAGGGTTTACAGATCCGGCAATTGTAAGTAACTCGAATAGAAATTGAAATATAGAAACTAAATTCAAACTAATGAAGATACCGTACCGAGATTCAAGCAACAATTATACAGATCTACTATATCTACAGAAAGAAACACATATTTAATGCCCGAACTTTCTTATCTGTAGAAGTAGGCATGAGATATCACAGAGAGTACAAACACGAGGAGAAAACAACTTACCGGAGAGATGCACCGGGAGTGGTGGCGCCGGTTGGGTTGATTTTTTTTTTTTTCGGAGAATTGGGTTGATTTTGAGTAACCAAAGAGATGGAGTTCTGAGAGCGCACGTGGGGGTGGCAAAAATCCCCAACTCGTTGGCTGGTTGCGGGACGGTGGCGGGGGACTAAGATACCTGCCCCATAGCCGTCCCGTCTAATGTATTAAATTACTAATTTATCCTGTCATTTTAATATATTTATCAAATTAACCTTCACTATATATATATATATATATATATTGGAAACCCCTTCAGTTTCAAACCCTACACTTCATTGCTGCAGCCGTGTCTCTCTCTGAGCTCTCTCTCAAACCCAGAATACATCCACTATTTCATTTTGGGGAGGAGGTCAGACTAGATCAGATTCGGATGAGTCATTGGAGAGTGTGGTTGGGGACGAGGTCTGGAGGCTGTTGGGTGAGTTCGCTGTCGTCGAGCCAGGAATTGTGATGTCCAAACTTCTTGGTTGGTTTGACTGTGAATCTGGAGGCTGTTGGGTGAGTTTGGGAGGCGGTGAGTTGGTGGGTGAGTCGAGATCGGATCGAGTCAAACCAGAGTTGAGTTTTCTCTCTCTTTAAAACTTTATGGTGAGGCTGTGATGATTATGTATTTGTATAAATCGGAGGCTAGATCGTATATTGGCGAGGCAACGCAGAGGGTCTGTGAAAGATTGTTTATTTCTTTCACTGGGCAACTGTTGTTACAGCCATTGCGGTATGGCACAATGTCTGATCAAAAGGCAAATTTGAGCCACCCCAACTCTGTTACCTTCTATATATGTTTTTTATTTATTTTGTTTTTTTTTATGAGTTTAAATCTGATGTAGTAAAAAAAAAAAAAAAATTCAAAGAGAAAATCTGAATTTGGTTTTTGCATTGTTTGAGTAATCTGTGTCAACTTGAGTAAATTTGGTTGGATTGTAGTATGATTAGTAAATTAATCACGCTTTGAACAACTTGTATGATATTTATTTTCAAGACTTTTGTTGCATAAATATTCAAAATTAATTTTTAAACTCCAGTTGTTCCCTAATCTTTTTTTCCAGTATTCCATAAACTTATGGAACATACCAAATTTTCGAGAGAGCCCTACAATGCAATTATCAAGGGCGAGTTGGTGGGTGAGTCGGCAAGGCGGCGAGTTGGTGGCTGAAATGATATGCCGATATGGGTTTTGAACTTTTGATTCTGGTAGACAATAGATTAACTGAAATATATGGGTTTTGACCTTCTGATTCTTGTAAATTTTTGTAGTTTGCAGTTGCACAAAGAGAGGGAGAGAGAGAGAGAGAGGGCATGTTCAGAGTTGAGAAAGAGAATAGAGACGGAGGTGACTGGGGAGGCTAACATGAGTTGCCCTAAAAATATAATCTAACATGAGTTGCCCTAAAAATATAATCGGTTATGGGGCGGGGGATGGGGCCGGTTATGGGGATTAGAGGCAAAAAATTAACCGGTTTTGGGGCGGTTTTGGGGACAACAAAATTAAATGGGGGCAGGGATAGGGAATGGAAAACCCGCCCCATTACCATCCCTAAGCGCACGTATATAAACGGTGTATAAAGTTTAGGGGTGCATTTGGGCGGGCTAACCCAGTTAGCCCAACCCGAAACCAACCCGAAAATTTTGAAACTTAAGCATTGTTTGGATTGGAGATTTAGAGAAATTTTGAGAGAAAAGAAAGAGAACGATAGTGACTAGTGTATTTGGATAAAGATAATAGAATAGAAAAGAAAGGATTTGGAGAGATAGCTTATTCCTCCAACTAAATTCTTCCAAATCCCTCCAACTAAATCCCTCAAATCTTGACAAGATTTTAAGGGGAAAGAACATCTTAAAGTAAATTTTTTATTAAAGACAAAATTAGCCCTCAAAATTTTATACACAAAATTTATATTACATTGAAGTCCTAGGTCAATAACAATATTAGGGCAAATCAAATTAGCAGCTTCTTTAGCTCCTCTTCTCTAGTGCCTGTCTCTTCTCCTGTTCCTTCTCGTCCATTCATTGTTTTACTTTCTGCAAAACAACTGGAGCATCTATAAATACAATATTAAAAGGAATGACTTGCCCTCCTCCTCCTTTTTTTTTTTTTTTCTAACTTACCTAAAAAAATATAGATATATTAAAAGGAAATCCTAATTAAGTTAACTAACACTTAAAACTTAGTTGTAATCTTGGGTCATGGAATCATGCCATTTGTGCTAAAACTGTGTTCTCTCTCTCTCTCTCTCTCCCTCTCCAGCTGTTGAAAGTCAGAACCAATGTTCCTTCTTTTATTTTTCTTTTCCATATTTGCTTCTGCACTTAGTTAATGGAGAAATCGATTTTTACTTGATTCATGGATTGGAACCATCTGCAACCAAGGCTACATTGAAGAAACAATACATGAAGATGGTTGTCCTGCTCCACCTTGATAAGAACAAAAGTGTTAGAGCTCATTCAAGCTTTGAAACAAGTTATTTTATTTAGATTAGATATTATACTTTCCTTTCTTTTTCCTTATCCAAATAAGAATATTTTTCATTCCTTTGTTTTTTCTTCTATTAATCTAAACATGAAGATAAATTATATGATTTCATTTTCTAATATTTTTCGTTCCTTTGTTTTTTCTTCTATTAATCTAAACATGAAGATAAATTATATGATTTCATTCTCTGATAACTAATGTTATCTCTTTTCTTTTCTGTATATCCAAACGAAGTCTTAAATTTTTAAATTAACAAATCGAGTTGAGAGTTTTCAAAGCCCAGGTGTGATCGGGTTGGGCTCGGGCTCAACCCGAACCTAACCCAAAACCCAAAAAACAGCCCTTTTTTTTTTTTTTTTTTGGTTTTTTTAGGTCTATATGTATCTGAAATCATTTACTGTAAAACCTAGTCTGTGATATTTATATATGTGTTTGTATATCTATATATGATTGAAAAGAGAAATTAGTAAAGAGAGAAACAGGATCGGCGCATCCTCTCTCCTCATAAAGACCAGCAACTGAATTAAAGTCCCTCTCATCCAACCAATCCCCCTCTATACCACCCTTTGGAGTGACCCTCTGTACCACCCTTTGGAGTGACCCCGATCACGGAGCTTGAGAGATTCTCTAATAACCCCAGCTTCCGCCACTTCAGCAGAGGCAACCTTCTCTGAGAAGGAATTGCCGACGAGCTGTCACCTTTTGGGAATAGCGGTTGGTCTCTACCGGCGACCATGGTGTTCCCTGATGGCCATTTTGTGCCGCCGTCCAAGACGCACGCCAGGTCGCGCTCTGGTGATCTGGTTGATCGGAGAAAAAGCAGCAGTCGCTCCTATTCGCAGCGACTGAAAATACGTGGCCGGAAAAGAAGTATAATAGTCGCGAACTCTTTGAGTCGCGTTTCCGTTAGCGGCGGCTTCTGTTAAGGATTGTACGCTGAATTTAGGGTTTTATTTGGAGTAATTTAAAAATAAAAATTTATTTAACAAGAAATAAAAAAGAAAAAGTTTTTTTACTTTTATATTTAAGATAAAATAAGGTAAGTTTTTTTTTTATTTTTTTTTTTCTTTCATAAAAGAGTTGAAAAAATATACAAATTAATAATTGAATATCTTAAAAAATTAATGTTTCAAATCAAGAAAAGGAATAATTTGCATATTTGTTGGCAAGGAAGTAAGTAAGTAAAAAAAAAAATGGGTCAGCCCATTCGGCCCGAACACGTTCGGGTTAGGTTAATATCAGAGTTAAGATTTTTTGATATCGGGTCAGCCCAACCCAACCCAACTTAGGGTTAAGGTTGTGTAATGCTTATGATTTTTGTTATTTTTCATTTTTAAAAATTTTTCTGTTTTACGAGGGTATTTTTGTCTTTTCTTGTTTTGCGTATCGAACACCTTAAAGTGTGTCAGCTTGTTGATTAGGACATTTCTTTGAATTCAGGGCTTTTGGAATGCATTGATTACCATTTCAACATTTTTTCTTTTTCGGGCCGGGAGGTCCGAGGTGGGACCCGTAACCGGATTTGTGGTGCACCGGTATTATTTTTCAGGACCATTGCATTTAATGCACTGTTATTCTGTGCATAATTACATGGTTTTATGTTTAATGTGGTTGTGTGTGTGTGTGTGTGTATATAATTATTTAAAAGAGAGATTTTATTTTTTGGGACCCACCATCACTTTAACCATCACATAAGACCCAAGGGGTCATTACAGACCCTCAGTTTCTTTTCTCTCTGCTGCGTCTTCTCTCTCCCCACTCTGTAATTCTATTTTCTTTTCTTTTTTTGAAATTTCAAAGCTTGATATCTCTTTCACTACTAAGAATTTGACTTTGCCACTGAAGGCAAAGTCGACGAGCGCGACGAGGCCGTCATTTTGATCGGAGTCAATCTCCGTTTGGTCACCAATTGGGAATTCAAAATTTGGTCATTTTTAGGGTTTTTTTCACCAATTTGAGGTAGGGATGCTCTAATCCAGTATCTCTTGGATTTCTTGTGAATTTTCCCCTTTAATTTGACTTTAAGCATGCTTAATTTTAATTATTTTGATTGTGTTTGTTAGGGTTATTTATATTTAAGGTGATAAATGTGTGCTATGTGTTAATTGGGCTTATTAGTATGATGATTTTCATTTTGGTAAAGAACCATGTTTAGTGTTGGTATGTTGTATGTTTCTGATTTTAATTGCTATGAAAATTTATATTATAATTATGGAAATAAATGTTTAGAGCTCCCTATCAAGAATGTCATGATGATGTAGATGGAATGTGTGAAAATTTTAGTATTGAATTGACATTTAGAAGCATGAAGCATTCATGCATTCATTGGGAAAGAAAAAATGGGAAAGTGTTTTAAAAACGAATGAAATTGTTTTAAGAAAAATATTTTAGAAAAGTGTTTACGAAAACCGGACACCTAGGAGTCGCCCAGTGGTCCGCGGTGTTAGTGTGGTCTAGAGGGGACTAGGGAGAGACCATAGCGTGGTTGAGCTATCTAGGCCAGATACGACGCCTTGGAGTTGCCTTATGGTCGTTGATGATTAGCCAATCTTCCTCTCGTGACGCCTTAGAGTCGCCTTAGGTCGAATTGCACTAACGGTTTAGAAAGGTGAAACAATATTATTTCAAAAATGGGGAGCGACATTTTATGGCAT